CCCCTTGTATCCCCAGGAGTCAAACAGCCACAGCAGACATTTTCATGTGTCTCCTGCCGAAGTTTTTTCTTGCCTAGCTTTAGGCTTTAAAAAATTGTTATTTAATTTTATAATCTGCCTTTTCCTTTCAACATTCTAGCACATAGCTCCCCATCATTACAAATTGTTCATAATTACAAATGCTTCTTAATGGTTTTGAGAGATTTCTTTGATGGATGTAAACATCATTTACTTCACTGTTCCCAGTTTTTGAACATGTAGGTTGGTTCAACTTCCTGCTATTATAAATACTGCCATGACGACCATCTCACATTGACAAGAGTGCCTAGAGATTCTAGTGTGTGTCAGTCCTTAACTGGGTCCTGTAAACAGGGTCCCTGGTGTCAAGGAATTCACAGTCTAGTGTGGGAGCTAAAAAACAGTTCTGGGTCAAGCCTGAGCTCCTTCCTTTCATCCTTTTAGACTGGTAAAGTGGAAGGAAACATTATACTGATGAATTAAAAAGGAAAAAGAAAAAAGAACTGAGAGATGTATATATTGATCAATATTGATATAGGCAACATATCTAGATTGACCTAGACAGAAAATGGATTGTTAATAAATAGCAAACATTATGAGGATATTAGGTTCAAAGAGCAGTTGCTCAGGGGGAGGAATAAATTAGGAATTTGGGATTAGCAGATACACACTACTGTATATAAAATAGATAAACAACAAGGTCCTACTGTATAGCATGGGGAACTACAGTCAATATCTTTTAATAACCTGTAGTGAAAAAGAATATGTACAGAACATGTGTAACTGAATCACTATGCTGTACACCAGAAAGTAACACAACATTGTAAATCAACTATACTTCAATTTAAAATTTTTTTCAGAAAACTAAAAAAAAAAAGAAAAATAAAGGAGAGAAGTAGGTCAAATGTAGGTCAGATTTTAGCTTGGCCTGGTAAGTGTCTAATAACTGACAGTAATCTATACATTTCACACCATTTGCTTTAAATACTCTGATTAGACTTGACTGTTTTTCATATGTCCCGAAGTACCCAAAATTATTAAGAATATATTTGTTAAATTGCAGCCGACATTGGTGGCTGATGATCAGAATGGCGGTTCTGATTTTTATGGGCCTGCTGAGGTCTGCTTTCCTCTTGCTTTCATTTCCGTGATCAGTTTGAATCTCATGGAAAAAGTCTTCCTCAAAAGAGCTATGAGATTTATAAAACCACAGCTGATTGCACACCAACGTCCTGCTGATGTATTTGTGTGAGTGTACGACGGGGCATGACTGCAGGGCAGGACTGGAGTATACACAGAGCGTGAAATTGGAAACAGCCTGTTTGAAAGATGCTCTCAGCCACCAGGACTGTGGGGTATTAGAAGGAAGTGTGTGCACGCTTCCAAACCCAAGCGCTGACGTGTTCGTGCAAGAGGGTCTTCTCTAGGGTCCTGGCAGGATGATCTGAGGGCACCTGCCTGCTGTGAACAGGGACGCTTCTCAGCAGTTTCTCTCTTCTTTCAGATTGATGATCCCAGCAGCAACCTGGAGGAGGTGACTGAGGAGGCTGACGCCACCACCTCCGCGAACAGCCTGGGAGGCAAGCAAGCCTTGAATGCAGACTACCTGGGTTCTGATTACGAGAGAGGACAGCTGTACCCATTCTCCCTCAGCGGCGACTCCCCCACGGCCACGTTCACGCTCACAAATGCAGCTCCCATGACCCCATCCTTCCAGAAACGGTGGTACGTGAATCTCCACAGCCTGATGGACCGGGCCCTGACCCCGCAGTGTGGCGGCGGGGACGAGCTCTACATCCTCACAGGTGCGGTGCCCTCAGACCTCAGAGTCAGAGGCAGAGTGAGTGTCCCGGAGTTCGTCTGGCTGGCGGCCTGCTGTGCTGTCCCTGGAGGAGGCTGGGCCATGGGCTTTGTCCAGCATCCCCGGGATGTGGAGGTCATAGAAGATGTGATGGTGAAAGAACTCGAGAAACTGCTTCCGTACAGCCCACAGCTGTTCCAGAACAACTGTGGGGAAACTGAACAAGACACAGAGAAAATGAAAAAAATCCTAGAGGTGGTTAACCAGGTCCAGGAGGAAGAGCGGATGGTGCAGTCGAAAGGGAGCGCGAGGGGCAAGAGGTCCGCCCTGTTGCCTCCGGAGCCAGCCGGGGAAAGGAGTAGCCTTTTGGGCAAACTCCTGGGCTTCATCGCTACCCCGCTCATCAAGCTTTGCCAATTAATTTATTGCGTGGCCATCGGAGTCCTGAAGTACATTGTGTATTTCCTGTGGTTTGTCACCAAACAGGTGATTCACGGTATAGAAAGTTGCCTTTACTGCCTGGGCTCAGCCACCATCTCATACTTCTTGACCATCGGGGAGGAGTTGGCGAGCATTCCCTGGAAGGTACTCAAAGTCGTGGTCAGAATCACCAGGGCCATCCTCCGGATCCTCTGTTGCCTGCTCAAGGTTGTGTGCCGCGTCCTGGGCATCCCTGTCCGCGTCCTCGTGGACGTGGCCACTTTCCCTGTGTACACCATAGGCGCAGTTCCAATTGTGTGCCGGGACATCGCTGTGGGCCTTGGTGGCATCATCTCTCTGCTCTTCGACACAGCTTTTGGCACCATGGGTGGCCTATTTCAGGCCATTTTTACCGTCTGCAAGCGGATTGGGTACAAGATGACTTTTGACAATCCGGGGGAGTTATAAGAACTCAAAAAACAGAGTGCCCAGTTACAGGGAACTTGCTTTTTTTTTTTTTTCTTAATAGAGAAAGCTGGAATATTTTGTCTATTCTGTGGGTTTCTGTTCACTGTCAATTATCATTATATTTTGGCCTTTGGTGGGAGTGTCTGCATGTTTTCACAAAGGAAGGTGGTACAGTTTAGACTTGACCCTAGAGAGGTGCTCAGGGTGGGATTACGTGAGGTTGTCGGCTGTGATGTGGGTGAACTTCCAAGCTGCTCAGTTATTCACTGTGACACAGGTCACCATGCGAGACATGCTGCTGTTCATTTGTGATCATTAAAAATTACAGGAGAGGGAAGAATGAGAACGAGGGCAGCTTTAAACCAAAGTGTTTCCAAGAAAAGGAGAAGGGAATCTCACTCCTCCTATTACTCTCTGGGACTCAAGGCAAAACCGATATAAATATTCCTGGCCAATTCGTTAACATTTGTTTCTCGTTCTCCCCAACTTGGCTGACTTGGTGAAGTGCAGCTCTGCTTCCCTGCTGAGATAACTTTCTTAGGATATGGAATCTGCTATATCCCTTAGCTTTCCATGGCTCCTAAGGGCCTATCAGGTTGGTTTGAGGGGCGGT